GCATGGATATCAGTCCACTTCAGGCAAATATTTAGGAACCGAGTTTAAGACATGAGGCAGCGTACTATTTGTAATATAGCAGTAGACTGTTATATAATATAAGACTAGAAACAAAACTTAAATGCGAAAAGATTTTATATAATAGATACTATTTTATTTATCCTCAGCATAATTGCAAAAAAAACAAGCGGACGAAAAATTGAGGATAAAAAAATGGAAACACTTAGAGTTGTTTGTCCATGCCACATTGATTTTACCAATTCTGTTATTAGGCAATAAGCAAACAAATGAACTCGCTTCTTGATCAAATAAACTAATTCAACAATTCCATTATATTCACAATTTTTCAGACTAAAAAAGTATATTGAAAGCATTATGAAGATAATCTGCGGAAGCCAATTCACAGTTAAATTATATAGATAAATGATAAAGTGGTGATATAACTCAGATAACAATATAGATGTTATCATACGTGGCTATAATAATATTAATGGAATAAAACATGAAAGTGGGAAATATTTCTCAAGAGACACCAATACTTATTTTAAAAGCTAATACAGACGGAGATAATAAAGTGGAATAATGAGGGTTTCTTGCTACAACACATCGTCTTTAGTATGATGTCCTTGAGATTAATGGCATTTCTACCCAGGATGGATAGAAGACATAAGTATGCATTAAGATTCATGTCATGAAACCCAAAAGTAGCCATAAGCTAAGCCCTAACTAGAAGTGATCGTAGGCGGAATCTCAGTAGGTTGCTTTAATCTTTTATAATAAACTAATTATCCCACAAATGAGATAACCTACATCCACAATCGATGTAGTACTTCAAAAAATACAAAGTTAATTTACCTAATTTTAACAAAATTGAAAAACCCACGAGACAAGAAAAGCGAAGGGCCTAGAATAAGTACGAACAAAATTATAATGCTAGCTGACTGACGCTAGGCAAAACAATGAAAAAGCATGAAGACCAAGAAGGTGTGGTCTTTTTTGTAGTCGTAGTCTCCTTCTGTTGTATGGAAGTTGTTTGACCTATAAGTCTTCTACCAATATGACCAAGTTGCGAAAACAAGGCCAAACAACTTCTATAACAATAAGCAGATTATTTACTTTAAAAAAGTCATTTTAGTTCATTTATTACCCTATTGCTGAAAGAATCTCAGGCCATGATTACATTACGAGACCTCCAGCAAGAATTCTAGCCATATGCTATCGAAGAAGATAAAGATACTCCGAAATAAAGTGAGAGAAATTATTATCATGGGTGTCATTAGTTGCTCCGAAAAATGTAAAGAAGTAAACTGAATATGGGCTTAAAAAGCTGATATGATTATGAAAAAGACTAATTAGCAGCTGATCCTATTTAGAATGCGGCCAGTAGGCAGCATGAGTTCATAAACTATTTGTATAATAAAAATACAATAATAAAAAGGATTGATATGGTAATCCGTATGCACAAAATCAAAGACATTGCACAAAGATAAAAATCTTTACCCTTACTTGATATTTTTTATTAATTATCCCCAAAACACCAATAGGTTCTGTTGGTTCTATCTTCTGAACAACCTTTGCAGCACAGTCTGCTCCCTTCTCAATACAATAGCCAATAAAATATGGATCAGCCATCTTTATCAAAATGTTGTCCACGCAGTAGGTTTGGACATATTCCACGCCTCTAGAAGCCATGTCTGCAAGTATGCCTCGGTCGAGCAACGCCCTATATAGTCCGCCGTTGCCATCTGTGTCAACATAAATAGAAGAAATAAATTAATACTTCTACTCACAATTTAGTAGTTCCGACATAATAGAACGATAAATTCCCACACCCAAATGTATGAAGGAATTTTAATTCAATTATCAATGAATTTTTGTGATTACGCAATCTTACGGAAAATAAATCTGACTACAGCTACAATGCTAAGGATACTTCAAATAATATATTTATGAAATTTTGCGGCTTATTGCTACATTAGCACTAAAATAAAGAACATATGCTTACTAGAAACGTAGCATGAAATATTAAATGTTTCTAAAACAAGTACAAAAACT